AAAAGCACTTCCTATGCAAAGGGAGATTGCAGGATGGGAAGAGAGATGAGTTTATTAATAAGCAATATCCTAGAAGAAGGGATGTGGCCAATAACTCAATCTCTCACCAAAGGGGTAGTAGGGACGGGATGGGGGAAAGCAGAGGGAAAATTGTAGGAGGTAGAGAAGGAAGTTGAACTGGTTACCTTCCCCCAATTTAAATTTCAGATTACAAAGCAAAATCTTCTGATGACAGGAAAGTCTGAGTTGGTGGGACAGGATTGAAGAACATTTATGGTTTTGAATGAGCAATAGTGAGAATTGGAGAAGGAAAGGAATAGAGAAATCTAATACAATTGATCAAATTTCACTTCCTTCTTGAAGTCTTCTCTGCCCCTTTCCCTGAGAGTACATACAATATTAACATATTTATACAGCAATTAAAAATATAAGTTTCTTTTTAAAACCCCTATTTTATAACTCTTAAACGGCACTAACTTTCTGCTATGTAGTTATTTCATCTTTTCATGTGTGTCTTTCAAAAATTAATTTATAACCTTTAAAAAAATCCCATTTCTTTGTATCCCTCATGGTATCTCCTAGAGTGGGTAACAAAGTAACACTGTTTCAGTAACTATCCCCATACAACAACCCATCCTAAACTTAGTGGATGGTGGCTGGGTTCCAAGAGCTAGTGTCCTGAGAAGGAGACCCAGGTAGATATGATATCACCTTTCATGGCCTAGCCTTGGAAGTCACGCAGTATTATTCTTCCACATTCCATTTACATTTTAGTTAGCAGCCATGTGAGAAAGCCAGTCTCTAGGAGGCATAAAGGAAATATGCAGAGCAGAGAATCCAGGCGACATTCCCATCCCTGGTGAGGCTCAGATCAGACCTCCTTCCTCCAAGATTATGAGATATCCTATTTCTCCAGTAAATTCCCCTCTTGGCCTAAATTTGTTCTAGTTGGGTTCCTATCATTTGAAACTTAAAAAGCTCTGACTAACGTAGGGTGGGAGGAGAAGAGGATGTCTCTTCCTAGAAATGCGGTACCCACTGTGATGGAGAAATAAAGGAGAAATTCAGACTGGATTATCATCCAGATGTCTAGGGTCTGGGGTGAGGATAGACTGTCCATTAAATCATACTAAAGGTGTGTTTTCAACAACGTAGATAGACCTCGGAGAGAGAAGACAGTAAAAAACCAAGGCTGAGCCAACACTGAGAAAAGCCTCAACCTATCTAAAATAGGGAGAAAACAGCAAAGAGAGGCAAGAGAGTCTGTTCATTGAAATTGCTGGAGTGCCTTGAAAGACAGTGAGAAGCCGTTAACCAAAAATGGTGTCCACTGAAAACAGAAGGGAACAGGTCAGTCCAAGGGCAGCAAGACTAATGGTCTTTAGAGAGTGACCCCTGGGCCTGAGCGGGGGCTAAAAGAGAGCTAAGTGGAGTCCCGCCCAGCACAAAACAAAAGGTTGAACTTTTCCAATGTGCAGGCATTGTATCATGTGCTTTACTCTTATGACCTTATTTAATGACCCCTAAGAAAGTGTCCTACATAGGTCCTGCCAGCTGTCCCTGAAATCCTAGCACAGTCAGAGCTGGCACTTCCACGGTCAGGAGAGGGTCATGCCATATAAGCCCCACCCAGCAGACCCAGTGACTGGATATTCCTGGGGCAAATCTGAAAGTCCTCAGAAGTCTGTGAGGCTGCAAGCAGCCCAGATGAAACAAGAATGACAGTGCCCCTTTCCATGTTTGAAGTAAGTGAATTTTTAATAAAACTGGTATATTGGTCACACCTTCATCTATATCAATCCCATCATTCAAGTGTCTACACAGTTAAATTAAACCAAATATTTCACAGCACATTTTCAAGACAGTACAATTTTTGCACTAAAAGAAAAAAAAAAAAAAAGACTGGTTACTACCAAAGTGTGTTGTCCATGAATTGAAAGACCTTCATATTTACGCAGCAGGTACACGCGCAGGAGGGCAGGCAGCAACAGAAGGCCAGACTGGAGAGCACTGTCTCTGTGGTACACGCCCTGAGGGAGGGGTGCGCCAGGGACGTGATGCGGCTGATTCCATAAAGCAAAATGGACACCAATCTCATTATTTTAGAGCCACACCTTGTGGTATGTTTATAAAATATTTCTTTCACAAGTTAAAAGCAGTATCTGCTACAGATGAGTTTAATTTTAGTAAAATCAATGAAAAAATTCTATGTTCATGCAACATTTGTTGTAAAGATTCCAGAAACACATGAGTCAAAATTTCAAATTATGACTCCCACAGTAACTGTAACTCTGCTATATAACATACATAATGGAAGAAACGTTATCAACATATACCATTGTAGAAAATCCTCGGTAAGCAGAAACAAGCTGAGTTATGCTTGTTGTGGGAATCATCACTTTCAACCAGCTAAGGATATATAAAAATTGAAACCATAAATGCATGCATTATTTTATGCATTTAATTCCAATTTTTCTTGATCCAATTTAATCAGCTTTGCATCCAAACTACATTTCCCTTTCATAAACTGCAAATGAATGTCTTTCATAATTTTAAAATCCACATCACTTGGTTTCTTTTTCTCATGCAGGTTGCCTTTGCAGAATGGCATCATTATACCCTGTCCCTCCCCTCAAAGGTCAGGACATGTCTGTGGGGATCCATTTATCTAGATTCCTTTTCTCCCTGAAGGACACCATAGGGGAGGAGAAGAAGAATACGAGAGAGAACAAGAATCACATCGGGTAGCTTGGAAAGGTAAATAAGAGGAACAGAAAGAAGGACTCTGGCACCACGAACTCCCCCTTGGTATCTTCCCAAGCAGAAATAAGAAAAACACCACCATCATATATTTACAATGTCCAAAGTGTTTAGTCATAACATTATCTCCTCTGATCCTCACAATGACAATGAGAAAGGCAAAAAGAAAACATCATTCAGTTGTTCAGCTCTTTGTAACTCAAGTAGACTATATTTAAGATGTGCTTTTATGTTATCATTTAAAGTCTGGGCCATTTAATGGCACTTAGAATATTACCCGCCTACTACATGCACAGGATTTACTTATTATTGAAGGCAGAACGTACCTTATGTAAAATGATTATGGTTATGAGCTAAAAATTTAATATATTTTAAGCTTTTTGCTTTAGCTATATTCTGAAAATTCAATAATGAAACAGAAAGAGAAATAACTACTCTTCGAAATTCTGCTTGGGCAAAATTAATCCTGTATATTATATCCAGTATTACTTTTCCCAGATTGGTTTTAACTAAGAAGGGCACCTTCTACAACCTCCAAAGAGGAATTCTTTCACTTCTCAGCAGTCTTTACCATCAAGACGCTCGTTATACTCAAACTAAACTACTTTGGCTCAAGAAAAATCATATTTCCTTTGCCACTCTAAGTACTCTGCCCCACCATAGTGTGCATGACCTTGTGTGTTTGGAGAGTGACATGGTCAACCTTTTTTGTCTCTTAGTGCTACTGTGATCCGGCTATTCGAATTTAAATTTGTTTTCCCCTCTGTTAAAAAAAAAAAAAATAGGCCCCAAATGGAGTCACTTCTGCTAAGCCCACATCACAAAACTGAGACTTAATCCCTAACCTAACTGTAGTTTCAGCCTCTGCCAGGAATGTAATCTTAACGAGTCAGTCTGGACTTACCTGGTCAGCACTAGTGAGGTAATCCAGCTGACAGACCCCTGCCATCCACCAAAGGAAGATGACCTTGCCTGAAACAATCCACTCTTTGCTAGTAACTTCCTTTTCCCACCCCCTTCTGCCTATAGAAGCCTTCCACTTTGTATGGCTCTCCATCGCTCCTTTCTATTTGCTAGATGAGATGCTGTGTGATTCATGAATCATTGAATAAGGCCAATAAGATCTTTAAAATGTACTCAGTTGAACTTTGTTTTTTAATATCCCTTTCTATGTACAAAAGGGATCTTTCTCCATAAAAGCAGGTAAAAATTTTCCTTCTTCATTATCTAGTGCACCAATAAAAAGATTAATTAAAATGAAGATTCAGAGCTGGCAAAAAGCCTCCATATCATTTGTTCTAATGTGGGAGATAATACAATTAATCCTTTGCCTGTGAAAGTATGACCATTTTGCATGTAATTAAAGGGTAATATTTTAAGTGCTAAAAGGAAAACAAATCCTAAGAAATATTAATTTTAAGAGGTTTTATTGTGGAGCAAGAGTTGTCTTCTTGTTACCTACAATTATAAAACAGATCTTTGTAATGATTAAAGATTAACACATAAGTTCTTAGATAGAACAGGTAAAATACAAAAAGGTATCCTCAGGGACATGAATACTCAACTTTTAGGGGTTTTTCCCCCTTACATGCAAAAAAATAATATCTAGGGCTGATAACAAAGCACAATCTCAATACTATTGCCAGACATGAAGAAGGCTGGTAAGCTGACAAATCAGTGATGGGGCTATGAGCTCTTGCATCTGTCAGAGACCAGAAAGGGGCTTCCTGCCTCATGTGATACAGATGAGAGACAAAGGCAGGCCCACAGTGAACTTTCCATACAGTCTATCCACTTTACAGGATTGTCTCAGGAAGAGTAGATCCAACCAGTGGGCAAGGTTTACCTTAAACAGAACGAAACGATCTCTTCCAGCGTGGAAACCAAAGAGGAGGTGATCAATTTCAGAGGATCACAGCAATTCCAGAGGATCACAGAAGGCTTAGAAATGAAAAACGATGGGGTTTGCTCCTCTTGAGCAGTCAAAATGTGAAATTCCCAAAGGTCTTAAAGTTTCCAATAAACTGACAGCAAATAAGGTACTGGAGACTGTCAGTACCATAAATTAAGAAACTACTTTTTCATATTTACTTATAATTAAAGCTGCAGAATTCCATGAATGGCTGACAGTAAAATATTAACACATTAAAGAATGAACCAAAGGAAAATTTTGGGAACAAGATAAGTGATCCAACAATAGAAGAGTGTTAAATAAATTACTGTACATTCATAAAATGGAGACTATGTAGTCACTCCGAATGTGTTCTTGAAGAATATCCAAGGAGAGGGAAAGAGCTGATAATACTGTAAAACGAAAAGTGAGGTTACAAAATGGTATGTTCCATATGATCTCTATTTTGGGAAAAAAAATACATAGAAAAAAAAGACTGGGAGACCATACACAAAAATAATGACAGAAGTTACCTCTGCTAATGAGATTTAAAGTTTTCACATTTTTTCTTTTCCAAATAAAAAGGGGAAGAGAGGAAATTCTTATTTTCAAAAAGAGTCAATGAGTGTACTCATCTCTTTGTCTCATCTTTTTATTAACACATAAAATGAAAAACTGAAATATATTTAGCGTCATTTAGCACTCGCATTAACAATTATTTCTCTGTAAGTTATAAAATCAATAGTCCATTCAAATTTATAGTTTCCTTATACTTTTCGCCAATTCACACACGAGCAACGTATTTTTGAAGAGACACAATGACAAATGTTTACCCAAGGTTGCAGTCTCCCACGCAGTCTTCTTCACACATCCCTGCGTCTAGAAAATGAACTTCATATGTTTGATTCCATAAGTTTTGAAGAAAACCATGATAATGAGGGCCCATAATCCCAGAATAAAACCCCCAGGAGGATGCCAATCTTTCAGCTTTGGTTTCTGCAAAACAAGGATGACATGATACATTTAACAATAGGTAAATAATTAAACAGTGGATAAAGCAAATACTGACAGAAAATAGAAATTTTACAGGTTGTGTTTTAAGGGGGAGTAATTTCACCAAATTAAATGTATTGGGATAGCAACAATGGTAAAGGCTTTAAACAGAATAAATATTTCAAAGTAGTTCTCACAGAGATCAGTTTCAAATGACCTTTTGTTCCCTCAAAGGGGCTTTTCCTGACTGCCCTACCCACCCATCTCTCTTCAGGCAAACTATTCAGGAGCCTAACAGTCCTTCTCACTGGGAATCTAAATATTCATTAGCTGGTTGGTTTCATCTGTCTCTCCTATTAGACTACAGCTCCATGAGCGTCATCTTGCTATATTCCCAGCACCTATCTGCCTCAGTGCTGGCATACAAGAGATACTCATACATTATACTGAATAAATCAGTGAAAAACAAATGGATTCCATTTATTCAGATATTCAACAAATATTTACTGGGGGGCCACTGCCTTTGGTCATGTTACTCCCTCGAGGTAGAATGCTCCTTACTCCATTCTGCCTATTCAAAACTCACTAACTCAACTGCCAGCTCCTCCAGATTTTCACAGCTGATAGATTCTTCTCTTTGAATCTGTAGCTCCTTCGACGTTTACTCCTGTCTGCCATTAGAGTTATCTTTATCACGTATCTCCCTGCAGACTTCCAAATCTTGGCTAAGTGCACTTTACGTCCCCTTCTCCTTCCCCCCACCCCCAAACACCCAGCCAAGTGTCTTGTACGTTTCTTTGCCCAGCAATGAAAGGCAGACCAGTCTTCTCCATTTAGTTATCATTTCAACAGCTACATTATGGCCCTCAAACTGGAGGCCTATGGCTCTGATCTCTTTGTGAGTTCTACTTTCTGAATTACCAGCCAAGATTATAAAGACTGTTACGATAGGAGAATCATATTTCAGAGTAGACTAGAGAGAAGAGAAACTGTAATCTCAAATGTGCTTTAGTCACCATGTAAACTAGATCCTAGGAAGGTTCATAAATCCCTTAGAGGTATCCACATCTTAGAGTTTGGTTTTCCCTTACATAACCAGGACACCTAAATGCTCTTCACTCAATCCTCAGCTCATCATATTGCAAAACAAAAAAAGAAAGAAAGCAAAGCTCAAAAATAAAAGAAATGAGGTCAAATCAACCAGAATTCATCAGTCAAATCAATTCATCAGAATTCATCAGGGTCCATACCAGTAATATACATTCAGTGCCACATTCTTTAGTTACTAATGTTTATTATCTATGTTTTAAAATATCTGTTACCTAATGAATACAACATTATAAACCAAGAAAATTCCAAAGAGTATTTTGATAAAATGAAATTCTATTTTTCTTTTAATTTTATAAATGGAGAAGTTATCTATGGAAATGCCTGATTTTCAATTAGATGATTTTTCTGCAACTTTTTCCTTTTCTTCTGAAGCTCTCCTCCCTTAGCTTCAGCGATACTCTTGTCAGGCTTTTACTCTACTTCTCTAACCTCCTCGTCAGCCTTCTTTGCTCCTTAAATGCTAGTGTTCTCTAGAGCTCTGCCTTCAGCCACTTACTCTCTCCCTTTGTAAATATCTTTGGGTGACACCTGGTTTCAACCTCTGTCAACAGGCTTATGAATCCCAAATTTATATCACTAACCTGGAACTCTACACTAAACCCTAGATTCATGTACAATTAACAGACATCTCTACTTGGATATTCCAAAGGATCACAAACTTCACTATAGCCAAGACTAAACTCATTCCTGACCCCTCCACCCGATTCTGCTCTTCTTTCCCTGTTCTCCACCTCTCCATCTACATGAAGGGCATCACCAAGTTCCCCAAGAGATACACCTGGAAGTCATTTGTAGTTCCCTCATCTCTCAGCCCTCCCTACTTCAATGAATTACTAATTCTTATAAGTTTTCTCACTATCATATCTGTCTTTTACTAGTGTCTTATTGCCACTGCCACTACCTTAGTTCTAGCTCTTATCATTTCTTGTCAAGATTACTCAGTCTCCTAACTAGTTTCTCTTCCCCCAAGGTGCCCTCTCTCTTCCATCTATCAACCCTACGGCTGCTAGACACACCTTTCTAAAACACAAATATGTATTTGTATAATACACAGATATAAAAGCCTCACATGTATGCCTGTAGGTATTACTTGCCTTAAGCATACATTACCTTTGTAACTTAAAAGATTAAATAGGGGGCTGGCTCCATGGCCTAGTGGATAAGTTCGCACTTTGGCAGCCCAGGTTTGGTTCCTGGGTGCAGACCTACACCACTCATTGGCAGCCACACTGTGGTGGCAACCCACATACAAAATAGAGGAAGAATTAGCACAGACGTTAGCTCAGGGCAAATCTTCCTCAAACAAAAAGAGGAAGATTGGCAACAGATGTTAGCTCAGGGTGACGCTTCCTCATTAAAGAAAAAAAAAATTAAATTAAATTAATGATTTAAAAACCAGGGTATGGTGTGGTGTGGTTCAAAGAGCATGGGATTTAGTTAGAATCAACTGCCTTGCATTCAAAGTTTAGTTTTAATACTTAAAGCCCAAGTTATCTTCCAAGGCACTTCTCCAGTCTGAATTTCTGAATCTGTAAAATGGGCAGAGTAACACATACCTCCTAGGAATGAATGAATGCACAATTACTGCAATGATGTGTTTTTTGAAAATTTAGTTTATAACTACTCATTCCCACCTAGAAAAGTGATGATATGAAACTTAAAGTACTTCTTAGACAACTTTCATTTGTGTTTGCCAGTTACAATGAACAATGTTTGAAAAAATCTGATTTTTGTTATTTTAATTTGTACAACTTTATTCAATTCAAAATTAACTTGTCAAACTATCAGGAGAGAAAACCACGTTAATATTTTCATCTGGCTCATAATGCTATGGTTTTAGGAGTTTCCAATCAGATGCTTAATATGAACTGAACTGACAATATTGTTTGCAGTGTTTACATCCACCTTCACTCCCATATCTACTCTCAGCCTCCTTCCAGAAACTCCCCCAAACACCCCAAAATATTAAGTCCACTTTTCCCCATGTTACTTTCTACTCAAAAGTCTCCAATGGCTTCTGGTCATATGTGTGATGATGATGATGACAAAAGTCCTTTCCCTCTAGTATCTTACAAGATGATAAGTTCAGTGGCTCTCAAACTGTTTCAAATGGCAGAATTCACGGAAGTCACAGTGCTCTTTGTGCAACACTATGAAAAAAATCTTAATTTAATTCCAGTAGAAAATCTAGAATAATTAATATAAAGCATAGTTACATTAAAGATAGGTAATGTAAATATCACAAGCATGTGACAATGAAAAAACAGGCGCGTGAACTAAACATGACTGACTACTGCTCAGTTTTGGTCCTATTTGTTTCCTACTAGTCCAACAATTGGTAAGTCATGCCAAAGTGTTGAAAAAGCACAAAGCCCAAAAATTATTTTTCCACAAACTGGGAAAAGATTAGCATTATTCATTATTAGTGGAAGCACACCTTTATACAACAGTCTGCAGATGTTCCTTGGGAATCCAGTTTAAGAGTACTGACCTAGCTGGGGAGACAAGATTCAGATTTTCCCCAATAACTAGGAGTCTCTGATTTATATGGTATTTGAAAAAACATACATACACTCTCAGGTTATTACTTTTAAAAAATTAAATATATATTGGCAAAATCTTGCATTAAACTCTTAACTGTAGAGGAACAAGCTATAATATACACAATTGTTCCATACACCAATGTAACGAATTTCAGTGCTAAAAGAGTTCAGGAAGTATGAACTTTCAAGAGTTCAAGAGCACTGTAACTTTCAGGTGGTGTTTAAACCAAGCCATGTGAAAAAGAAAAAGTGAGCATCATTTAAGCTCTGTGATTCATTAGAGATGACTGAAATAATAATCAAGTAGTTAACAGCAAATCTTATTTCTGCAGCTGTAGAAACTCTAGTCTCTTTCCATTGAGATGAATTCTCTGAGGTTATAATTTTACCATTAGATCTTAAACTTAGCAGCCAGAATCAGTTGCCAAAGATAAGACAACTATGGCTTCTTTGGAAGTAACTATCATTTCTCCAAAGATTGGTCCTGGCAGCTATTTTGATCTGTTATTCCAAAGACTGGCTCAGAGCATTCTGGAGGCATTGCTTCCCGGTCCTTCAACTGTGTCCCACACTGAGACCACTGATGCCCAGGAAAGAACCAGAGGGAAAAGCAAAGTGCTAGAGCTGTGGTTCCCCAACAGCAAACTTTGAAAGTAATAATGGAGGACTAAGAAATATATGTAATTACTCCAAAATTATAATGGAATGATGTTTTTATTCACATTATAACATTGTACAAGGTAACAAAAACAGCAAATCTCAGCCTTTCAAAATGGCTATTTGCAATTGCTACTGTATATTCATTACATATTTTTGATTAACAAAAAATGGAAAATGGGTTATTAATTAAATACAGTTTGGACTCTTAGCTTAACATGGCATCTAAGTAAAACCCCCCAGTGTAACCTCTCCCATCTTCTCAGGAAAATACATACAAAAGCACAGAAAAAGACAACAGCACACCCTAAAATTTAACCTCTGATGAGAAACCTCAGACAAATTCATTAACTGAAAGTCCTAGAAACCAGGTCTAGAAACATATTAATGGCAGTCCAGTTTTCTGATTGGTACACATGATACAAAGGTTACACTGCTCTGTGAAACACAATAATTATGTCAGCTGAGAAAGGGACTTTGGCTCTCTCCCTTTTCTGCCTGCTATTTAAGAGAAAGTGTTGACATAGTAGAAGGATGGCTTTATGAGGCAGCCAGAGGAGTGCAACTCATTCCCATTCCCCCAACAGCACACCTCTCTATACATCCATTTAAATACAGTTCCCAGTAAAGAGCCTGTTAGAAGGTAGAGGGGCACTAACAATGGTTCGCTGCAGCTATGATGCCTCAATATCCTCATAAAAAGCTCTGCAGAGAAGGGAAAATATAGGAAAAATCCCTTTAGTAGAGCATGTTAAGAAATACGGGTTTTCCATATACTTCCTATGGTGGTAGATGATCCTAGTTTAGTTTCGCAAAGCCACATTTGATGACTACCTGCCAGTCACTGGGAAATGTTTCACAAGCTATTCTTCAGATGCAGACATGAGCAGGCATTCAAATCTAAGCAGATAGTGAGAAGCATCCACATGCCCTGTTGCAATTACCAACAGTGTTCTAGGAAGAAAGAAAAAGCAAGGTGAGGCCCATGAGTAAAAAATTCCCACATGAGAAAGAAATATCCTGAAGACACAGAGAACATATCTCTGAATAAGATTTAATAAGGAACTACGAGATAATTAAGCAAAATTTTATTGGGTATGGACTTGAATAAAGATGCACAAGGAACCAAATATAAAACAATGGTATAAAGAGAAAAACAATGTAAGATACAAGGACAACAGGCTGAGATAAAAACGGAGCTGGGTGACATAATTTTATAATAGTAAAATTAAAAGCTACATTGAAGAGGAAGATAGCACATCTCTGAGTCCTTCATTCACCTAACTGTGGTAGACTGACAGCGAAAAATGGCCCCAAGTCTCCATACTTCCCTGTGTCCACACCCTTTGCAATATGTTGCTTTATAGCAGCTCTCATCAAGAGGTGGAATCTATATCCTTACTCCTTGAGTCCGCTGGCCTTGTGACTTCCTTTGGCCAACAGAACACAACACAAGCAACAGTGTCCTAGTTCCAAGGCTAGCCTCAAGAGGCTGTGTTTGCTTCTGCTCTCTCTCAGACCTCTGCTACCACCGTGAGAAAAAAATGTAGTCAAGGCTTCTGGAGGAAAAGGCACCATGTGGAGAACTCAGGTCCCCCAGCCAACAACCAGCCAACTCCCAGACATGGAACCACCTAACCAACACAGGGTTGACCACAGACCCATGAGGGAGACCAGCAGAGAACAGAATTGCTCAGCTGAACTCAGCCTAAATTGCCAACCTGAAGAATTATGAGTTAAATAAATGGTTAATGTTTTAAGCCACTAAGTTTTGGAGTGGTTTGTTCTGCATCAAAAGCTAAGGGATACATCCATTGAGGTAACAATTAATGTTGGAAGGAAAAATCCTATTCCTTTATTATGATAAGCAAATAAAGTTCCCATCTACATACTTGTAGCTCCAGGTTTCTGCAACAATGGTATAAAAAGAACACCATGAAGGACAGCTAATCAACCTCTTGTCCACCATGAACTTTGTTGAGGTAGGGGAGGTCTGTCAAGATCTCCTAGAATGAGAAATCCAGCCTCATTAACTCATCCTAGCTAAATTTCAGAGTAAGGACTTCACAAATACCTGTCGTACCTGAACGATATTTACAGCCAGACTCTAACAAAGCTGTCCAAGAAAAACACCTGCTATACTGTCTTCTAGAGGTAAATTCCATGATGTTCTCTGCCGCCCCCACTCACTTTAAGGGAGCTACAGTGAGGCTCGCTTCCAGCTCTCTCTCAGTCTTCCTGGAAAAAGACTCACTCCACTTGCCACCACGCCAGTAACCGCTCTCGAGGAAACGAAATGGGGGAATCTAGAGACCAACTCACCTACCTTCCCTTCAGCCTTTCTCCTCCCAACTGCAATCTAGATCTGAAGTCTAGTTCCTTTCTTTTTGAAGTGAGCAATTAGTGTTAATCAGATGTTGCCCACTTACTGGAGAAATGAACATCTCCCAGGATCTTGATGCACCTTACCCACAGCAAATTTGCAAAGCAATTAATGTAATCTAAGATAATTAAAGATGATTTGCTTTTGACTATGATTTTATCTCTCATAGAAAGCTGACCATAGTTTTTCCGTAGCCATGATTTTAGTTTTTCTGTGACAAGAACACCCACTATTAACATCATTAGTTAATAAGGCTCTGGAATTTCTGGCCAATTCAGACATAAATTTAAGAAGGAGAAGTAAATTTTCACTATTTGCACATATTATGATTAGATATCAACAAATTCTACAAAATCAACTCTTATACTTATTGAGAATAAAGAGCTCAGGTCTGAGATAAGTATATAAAAAAACACCCTTCCAGTATGCCAGTAAAAATGAGTCAGAAAACAGAATAGAAAAAAATTTCACTCACAATAGCAATAAAAAACAAAAAATAACTAAGAGTACCCACAGCATGGGACAGAAGGTAAACAATCTACACTACTCTACAGAGAGGGGTAAACAGTCCTGAATATCAAACGGATAGGATAAAGCTAATGTACAATGTTGTTCTGATGCAAAATAGAAAGATGAAAGAAAACCAGAATAGAAAGTAGGCAATCAGGCCAGTATCCAAGAATTTAGTAGACCACAGAAGAACTATCACAAATCAACAGGCAAGGGAATATTCTTACTGGTGTTCTAACAATGGATTAACATTTGGAAAAAAAAAATCAGTTTTGTTTCTAAGCCAACACTATAAACCAAAATACATTTTCCATGGTTTAGCACTAGATGTAAAAATATTAGATGTAAAAAAAAATTTTTTTAATTACTTTTGTAAAATGGCACCTAGGGACACATCATAATGGTAGCTATGGTAATTGTACTGGTGGAGAGAGTTAAAAAGGAACTCATTATGGAGAGTAGAACACACGAGTCAAAGGGCCACAGGCTGAGGGGACTGTCAGTGGGTGGCTACTCAGGAAGGACTTCGTGGGAGAGCTGGCCCTTGAACAAAGTGTCATATTTGGGTTGGTGGAGAGGAGACGACAACACCCAGACGTTGGCACATGGAGATAAGAAAAGCCAGGCTTTGGGAAAAAGGTGATGCCCCAATCTTGCAGGCAGGAGGAAGGTGATGGAAGCTCCACGAGGGTGGAGATTTGCATTTGCCTTGTTCATTACTGAACCCACAGGATCCTGGTGCTTAAGAAATCCTGTGGAAAGAATGGATGCTGTTTGGGAGCAGCAAGCATTAGGGCCAAAGAGACTCTCATTCTGTGAATGCCCAGCTGCGTGTTGGGATTTGATACAATAAGTCTCTGAGAGCCTGAGCCAGTAACAATTCACAAGCGAATGGGGTAAAGAAGATGAAATATAGGAGAATCTGCACCATAAAGAGGTTTATAAGTCTAAAAGCAGTGAATGAAAACAGCAAAGAAAAGGTGGAGAGATTTTTAAAAGAAATTTTGAAAGCTCTGTATTTCTCAAAGTGTATAAATCAAATTAAAAGGCAAATATATGGGAAAATATGACAGAAAGCAGGGTTAATTCAGTACATGAAAATCTCTCAAAAATGATTAATAAAAGACACAGATTTGTCAATCAATGAGACAGGGAAATGAAAATTTTCACAAAGGCATAATTACAAATGGCTAATTAAAATCTGAAAAACTTTAATGTTCTTGATCATAAGAACAAATTAAAAACAATATAGCAACTATTCTTTCCTCTTTAAAATTAAATTAGTAAACGTTAGTAAGGATGGTCAACTTTTCGGGAAAGTAATCTATTAACATGTTCAGAGGTCTTTAAAATGTTCCTGTCTTCATTCCTAGGATCTCTTCCACTTCTAGCGAGGACCTATATTAAGGAACTCAGAAATGCTGACAAAGATTTTAAACAAAGATTTTCTTCTCAGTGTTATTCACATAATAAAAACAAGAAACAATGTATACAAAAACAATATGGGCAATATTGTACAACCACAAAATTAAACAGTCATCAAAAAGGTTTTCGAACAATTTGAATGATTTGGAAAGATGCTTATACTGTAATGTTAAGAAAATAAAAGATGCAAATTGAGTATGAAATATCTTTATTTCTATAACAATAGTCAAAGAAAGGAAATATACTAAAGTCTTAATAGTGTTCCTCTGGGGGAAGCAGGTTTAGAGGCAGTTTTAATCTCTTCTCCATACTTATCTATACTTTTGAAAGTATGATTTCTACAATAGATATGTATTTCTTTTATTATTTTTTGGGGGGGGGAGAGAAGGGCAATATACAGGAAAAAGCTGTATTAAAAGAGCCCACCTAGAAGAATCTTCATATATTCATCTTTTCCAAATTAGGAGATGTACTGTAATAATACTATTTAGTATTTGATATCCTACTTTAAGAAAAAGTAATGCAAATACCATGGCAGCAACACAATATAATACAATGCCTTTTCAGAATGTATTTAATGATACTCCTGGAGTATAACAATATTGCTATTTTTAAAACAACTATAGGTAATATTTTAGACATTCTACAGTGCTGTTACTCACAATCAAATGACAGATTGGTATAATTATTGCATTTTGCAGTGCAGCTGCATTTGCGGTAAGTTCATATTAAAGTATAGCTTGTAATTTCATTTGTGTCCATATTAGAGCTTCTCATAAAATGACTGATTTTATGTAGTTAAAGTACTCTGTTGACTGCTATTAAATACACTCCTCTTTCTTTTTTAACCTTTCACAATAACAGCTATAATACAAAGGTGAAAAGCATACATAAAACACTACAATGTGTCATGAGCAAACACTTAAAAGCTTAAGGGCTACCTATTATTAAAATGCCTAATCTTTCAAATTAAAAAGATAGGTAGCTAAGCAACACAGCACTGCCAATTGTGAACAGTACGCAGTCTACCTTTCATGTTGTTGGGAGAACATTATCACAGGACTTCAGAACAGTTAGAGCACAGATCTAAGTAATAAAATTATGTAAAAAGAGCAAACTGAGGATTTTCAAAATTGTTTATTGATTTTCAAAATACGTTTATTGGGAAGTAAATGGAAAACTTTCAAGGTTTCAATGAGATTCTTTTTTTAAAATATAATAAGCATATCAGTTCAGTTAAACTGTATTTCAAGGAAAGAAAAAAACAATCTATTGAGGTTACAGTTATAATTACTTTAGAAAATAGCTGTTTGTTTTCAATTGTTTAATCAGTGGCAGTTTATTAGTATTTCCAGTCCATCTATATCCTCTCTACAAAATATAATTTGTACTCTTCAAATTATATTAACAGTATAAATCAAATTGTGGTCAGCAGAATTCTAAGCCCCCATGAGTCCTTATCCCTGGACTACACATCCTACTTCTTCCCCTTGAGTGTGGACAGGACTTGTGAATATGTTGGGATATCCTCCTGTGATTACGTTACACTCATTATATAGCGAAGATGAAGGGATTCTGAAGATGTAATTAAGGTCCCTAACCAGCTGACTTTCAGTTAATCAAAAGGGAGATTATCCTGGGGGGAGGGGCTGACCTAATCAGGTGAGCCGTTTAAAAGAGGGTCTGAATATCAGAGACATAAGCCAGAGAGATAGGTATATTAGAAGCAGTTGAGCTCCTCTCCCGTCAGTCTTCACGTATCAAACAGTCATGCTGTGGAGTGCACCATGGGCAGGGAAGGGCAAGCAGCCTCTGGGAGGTAAGGGCCTCAGTCAGTCCTATGGCCATGAGAAACTGAATTCTGCAAATAATCAGTAAACTTGGAAGAGGATCCTGAGTCTCAGATGAGACTGCAATCATGGTTGACACCTTACTATAGCCTTCTTAAGACACTGAGCACAGGACTAAGCTAAGCTGGGCCCAGATTCCTAAGCCATGGAAACTCTGAGATAATAAATGCTTTTAAATTGCTAAAACTTGTTTGTTACACAGCGACTGAAAACTAATTAACAAACAAAACTTGAAATAAAACTATTCATTACATCTGTTACCTGTTCCTTGGGTGGAATAAGTGATTAACATATTAACCTTACATGTTTTAAAAAACAGAAGTAAAAAGAATGAAGTTTCTAGTCTCATTCCTCCTACTCTTCCATACCTATTTATTCTCTAAGACCCTGCCAAAATGCCCAGAACAACTTAAAAGCAATCCCTAAAGGGATCAAACTGATCCTAGAACAAAAATCCAACACTCACTACATGAATAAAACAAAAATCCAGAATCCAGCAGACAACGATGACAAAAAAATTAAAATATCTAGCATCCAATAAAAAAAAAACCCCAGCCATTGAAAGGAGAGAAATATGACCCATAGCTTGGAGAAAAATCAATCAACTGAAACAGACCCATAAATGAAAAAGATGACAGGGCTCCTAAGACAGCTATTACACATGAACATATGAGGAGAGAAATAGAATATATAAATAAGACCCAGACAGGATTTCTAGAGATGAAAAATATGAAATATGAATGAAAAACGCACTAGATGGAATTAACAGCAGATTAGACACTACAGTAGAATTAGCAGAGAACTATTAAGATAGCAATAGAAATTACTCAAAATGAAGCACAGAAAGAAAAAAAGCAGGAAAACAAATAAAAGAATAAAGGCTAAAATAGAGAGCCTCAGTGAGCTGTGGCACCATATCAAGCAGGATCACATCTGTGTAACTAGATTCCCAAGTAGGGAGGGAGAAAAATATCCGATCAAATAATGACTGAAATTCTTCCAAATTTCATGAAAACTATAAACCACCAAACCCACAAAGCTCAACTTCAAGCATAAAAAACATACATAAAACCACTCAAAGGAACATCATAACCAAAATGCTGAAAAACAATGAAAAACAATGATAAAGAGAGTATCCTAAAAGCAGTCAGGTAAAAAGAGGTCTGTTCTTACAGAGCAGGGTTCAGCAAGCTACAGCACGCGGGCCAGCCACATGATTTTACAAATAAAGTTTTACTGGAACACAGCCACACTCATTCATTTACATATTGTCTATTGCTGCTCTCTCACTACACCAAAGTTAAGTTACTGCAACAAAGACCAGATGACTCACAAGCCTAAAATATTTACTATCTGGACCTTTAAAAAAAAGTGCGCAGACCTCTGCCACAGAGGAACAAAGATAGGAATGACTGAACACGTGCTGCCAGAAACCATGCAGGCCAGAAGACAATGGAAAGACATCTTTAAGGTACTGAAAGAACAAATGTACCAAGAGAAAAAAATCTTTCGAGGATGAAGGTGAAATAAAATACCTTTCAATAAAACAAAAGGTTTGAAAATTCAACAGACCTATACTACAGCAGACTTATATTACAAGGTAGTATACCAAATACCTATACTGCAAAGTATACCTACAGCAGACCTATACTACAAGAAATTGTAAGGGGAATTCTTCCAGCAGAAGAAAAACTATACTAGATGGAAATGCAGATTTACACAAATGAATGAGGAGAGATAGAAATGGTAAATAGGTAGATAAATATAAAAATATTTTCCTCATTTTAAAACTTTTTTAAAAGACAATTGACTGTTTAAAGCAAAAATGATAATGCATGGTGGGGTTTACAACATACGTAGAACCAAATAGATTACAACTCAGCCCAAAGGATGGAAGAGAAGAGTAGGGAATACACCATTATGAAGTTCTTATGTTACACACGAAATAATATAATATTATTTAAAGTAGACTGTGATAAATTAAAGATGTACTTTGTAAATCCGAGAGAAATAACAGCACCAAAGTGGATTCACTAATAAACCAAAAGTGGAGGTAAAATTGCATCACACAAAATACTCGATCCAAAAGAGGTCAGGAAAAGAAGAAAAAAGGGACTAAAAACAGATGGAGCAAATAGAAAACAAATAGCAATATGGTAAATTTAAATCCAACCAGATTTAAATCCAATGTAAATACTGGTAATTACATTAATTGAAAGGATCTTAACACTCCAATTAAAAGGCAGAGAATGTCAGGTTGAATAAAAACATAAAACCGAATGTAGGAAACCTACTTTAAACTTTAAGACACAGATAGCTTAAAGGAAAACAAAAACGATATAACACAGAAAAAGAAAGCTGGGCAGACTATACTAATGTCAGAACAAAGTAGACTTTAGAACAAGGAATATTATAGGGATGAAAAGGAATTTGTCATACTGATAAAGGGACTGATTCACCAAAAAGACATACCAATTCTAAATGTACTTAAACAGAGCTTCAAACATACAAAGCAAAAACTGATAGAACTGAAAGGAAAAATTATAATTGTATATTTCAGCACAATCTAAGAATTAATAAATAATAAAAAAATCAGAAGGAACATAGAAAACCTAAATAACATTATTAATCAATTTGATGTAGTTGATAGTTATTTCACTCCATCCAATAACAGAATACAAATTCTTTACAAGTACACATGGAACATTCACCATGATAGACCAAATTCTGGTCTATAACACAAGTCTCAATAAATTTAAAAGGATTGAAATCACACAGAGTATTCCATACACTGGAATTAAACTAGAAATCAGTAACTGAAAGATACTTGGAAAAGGCCCCAAATAACTCAATAAGAAATCACAAGGAACATTAGTATTTTGAACCGAATGAAATGAAAATACATTTCAAAATGTGTGGGATGCACATAAAATATGCTTACAGAGATATGTGTAGCTTTAAATGCTTGTATTAGAAAAGAAGAAATTTCTAAAATCAATAACCTAAGATTCCACCTGAAGAAACTAGAAAAAGAGCAAATGAAACCCTAAGTAAGCAAAAAAAAAAAAATAAAAATGAATTCAATAAAAAGGAAAACAAAAAAATAGTAGGAAAAAAAATCAATAACCAAAAACTGCTTCTTTGCAAGTTCAATAAAATTGATAAACTTCTGGGAAAACTGATTAAAAGAAAAATGATAAAGGGACCATCAACACAG